ACTTCAGCACTTAACCATTTCGAGAAATAATGTTGGCAGCTCTGGTTGTCTCTATCTGAATGCACTTTCAAAATTGGAATACTTGGATCTTGTTGGAAATGACATTAGGGATGCAGGATGTGAAATATTATGTAATGGATCACTGACAAACGTTCGAGTTTTCCTTTTGAATCAGAATTTAATTGGTTTGGAAGGTGTGAAATTCCTGTTGAATGCAGATTTTCCAAAATTGGAAGAAATTCACTTACAGGATGCCAAGGATGGATCTATTCATGCCAATACTATTGAAAGACAACCTCTGGTAGAGCTATATACTTCTCATAAGAGTAAGGTTATCCTCAAATAAATCTGACATTTAAAGTAATTCCAATCTCTTTATGAATTAACATTATAATTTTATCCAAAATTGAAAACCTCATCCCTGATTTCTTGCTGTTGTTGGTCTGTGGGTGTGGATGCTCCAAATTTAGATAAAGAAGATTTATTCTTTCACTTTAGAAACTAGAGTTTAAACATTTAGAACTGTTTATTGGATTTACAAGAGATCGTGTGCTAATCATCATTAATATTAATATTTACATTACTATTTACAATATCTTAACAAATACCCTACATGGTGGTGGTTTTGAATCTACTATGTTTGGTCAACCAAATGATTCCAAGAACTGAAATAATCAAAGCTGCTAACAAACTCATAATAGCACAAATCGTTAGTATTACAATATTATTCATCAGCAAACTCTTTACAAAGTAAACAGTACTGACAATGAATAGAGACACCAGAACAAACATGATACATCCCATCATGATATTCTTCTTGTTATTATCGAGTACCTTTCCCACTCGTTTCCAATAAGGTTCAGTCACCACAAGTGTTCGAATTGAGAATGACTGTTGTTTATGATATTGATCGTCACATGATAAATAACTGGAAACTGATTCATTACAACTACAAACTGGTGACAATTCAGTGTCACAAATTAAAGCACCACTACCAAGTTTCGTCTCATAATAGTGTGCTTCGTTTTTGTAGTCAGGAGTTGTAGAAAACATGATCATTTGTTGTCCACTACTTGTAGTCGAATTTGTTGGATAGAGTGGATAGTGATCAGTTGAATTGGAATTAGATCGAGATTGTTTGGCCATTTCTTTTGATTTGATTTGGAAATCAATCG